CAAAGAGATGAGGACATTAAGGTAGCAGAAAAATCATATGAGCAAATGAAGAAAGATTTGGATAGATTATTGAAAGAAAAGGAAGATTTTTTTATATCAAACACTCCAACAATTCCAATCACGTACATATTGATTATCCTTGGAAGTATAGGAATATTAATTCTACTTGTCTGCGCATATTATATACTCAAGCATATTTGTTGGAAACGAAAATTTGAGAAGATGATCAAGGAACTGTCACAACAAGACATTCCACTTCAAGAAATTCCTCAAAGAAATAATGCAGAAGAAGAAGAAACGGAAATAGTCGAACCTGTTGGAAGATCAACTGAACAAGCTTCAAGCTCAACACAGACAAGGAAGCACTTTGTTCGCACACCTCGATTTTAATCCCTACTTGATTTTTTTGAATGATTATTTCATTGGTCTGAACTTTTATTTGATTTATTGATAGTCAATTTTTGTTTACATATATCTTTATTGTAAGTACTTTTCCTAATTATAACAAAAAGCTTATTTAAAGGAATGTACACCCCACTCAAATTGATAAACTAAAGTGATTGATTAGAATAGACATAATATTATATAGAATAGTCTAGATATAAGACTTAGTGTAGTATCTAGAGAGAGAGAGAGACTTTATTAGAGATATGTATTTGTTAAACATATTAAAATGAACAATACTTTGGTGAAAAGGAACTTTGCCTCAAAAAGGATTTCAATGACCCTGGAGTCATACAACCTTTAATGAACTCAATTACCTGAAATTTTGTGGTTATGTGAAAAGAAATTTGAGCAGAAAAAGAAGTGTGTCAACATACAGGAAGAAGACACATTTCAACATTTTGAACTGCAAAGTGAACTTTGAACGGTTAGCAGGTGCTTTTTGAAACAAGAAGACATCACATGATCTTCTAATATACCTGAATTTGTGCAACTATAAGAAGTCAGCCAACAGAGGTGCTGCCATAGAAACTCTCAGCAAGAAAGAGGTGCATTCGAAACAAGTGACGAACTATGTTCACTTTTACCGTCGATACCAGACGAAGACACATGTGTCATTGTGTTTATTTTAGTAATATTATTAATCTAATGAATTGCTTATTATATTATTTCCATGTGTTTCAATATTGAATTTAATTTGAATTATTGTATACGTTTATGAATTTATTATTATGTTTAACGCAATTTTTAAAGAGAGAGAGAGCAATTCGAACTTATGTATTGCAGTGAAAAATCACGCCTTCTTTAAATGTAGTGTGATTTTTGAAGATAAGGGAGTAATGTGAGATCCGAAAGGCCCTGGGTCTAATTTATGAATTTTTATTAAATATGTTTAAATATAGACACGAAATATTACTTCGTTTTTGTGAAAAAAATATTGTTTTAGACGTGGGAAAAACCAGATAACAAATGTTATTTCCTTTCATCGAAGAGAACATCCTCTGTTTTTCCGTATCTGGTTAAAAATCTCGCTCAGATGGGAAATGGTTACCCCTCATTCATCCCCCTCTCGTCCGTTCTCACGAAAGAGTTACTGGACAATGATTGGACGAAAATTTTGAAATAAAAGGGGAAATTAGTCAGAATTCGGGGAGTTCTTCGACAGATCCGAAGCATCCAAACTCCACGCAGTTTTCCTCCTGATGGCCAACGCCCTAAACGGAGTCCGATAGACAAAGTCTCGAGTCGACACTTAGAAGTGATATTTTTATATTTCGTGCACGAATTGATCTCCCGCATGAAAGTAATATGAACCCTATCTACAAGGTGTCCTCTACCTACAGAAACGAAGACGACGACAACTAACAGGTCGTATGTTTAGAATCATTTTGTGAGCTCTCTCTCTCGATCGCGCATTAGCATAGGTTAAGTCGTAACCTCTAGCGTGTCGCTAAATGGTTGAAATCGAATTTTTGTATTCGTTTGTTTGAGATTTATTAAATTTACTCTTGTTTTATTTTATGAGAATGTCTCCTCAATTTATTCCGAATCAGATCGAAACCGCGTGTTAATCCGCGTATAATAAGTTTGATTAACTGGTGTCAAGGAATCCTGACGAACGTCTGAACTTCGCGGTTCAGATCATCTTTGTTTACGCTCTCCTATCAAAGGTAGAGAACTGGTCTTATTGACTAGTGCCCGTAAGTGGCGTAGATTAAGTCCTACGTCCTGGTGGATCTCACAATTAGCGTCTAAAATAAAAGAGTAATTAAATCGAGTCCAGCATCCATATTTTCTGTGGCGCGTTAAATATATTAAAAATAAAACTTTCAAAAATAATGAAGTTTCTTTGGTAAAAAGTGAGGTATGAGATCACGTAAGGCCTGTCTCTCCACCTTGTGTAACCAAAGGGATTTGTGTTGAAATAAAAGTCTAAACTACAGTAGAAGAAATAACAAACATTGGCTCAAGTTTACGACAATAAACTTGAACGGGAGCAAAGATGAAACATGACACCGTGTAATTTATGTTATTATTATATGTTACTACTTTTGGTTCGATAGAGAGAAGGGAATGTTGCGGGAGGACCGCAAAAGACCGTTTGTTGTATCGGACCAGCGGTACGGTTACAATAGAATAGGAAAATTACATATTTTGAGGTTACCAGTGAGCACTAAATATGATTTAAGTGGTTTTACGAGAATGTCAAGTTGAAAGATTTGGTATGTTTTTTCCGAAATTTAATTCGTTGACAGATCACCATTGTATATTCGGCTGTGAATGGTACTATTTCTTATAGTTAACATTAGAAAATATTATGACATCTGAAAAATTTAAGATATATTTTCAGTTCCCGTTTACTTGACCATTAAATTTCTGCCATTTCCTACCATCCGAGTATTGGCATAAACGGCAATACTTGGATGGCCGAAATAACAAAACTCTTTATATGGTTTTCGTTTTCGTGTTCGTTATAATATACTGCAGCGGTGACAAATTTATATGGAAGCAGGGGCGCAATTAAAAAATTTTACGAACGTTGCGGGCGCAACTATATGTAATGGCATCATATGTGTTTATTGTTAAAGTTATTTTTAATTCTTAATTATATCTTCTTAAGATTTTTTTCGTTTAATTTTTGTCATTTTTAATTTTGATTATTTTTTATTTTATTTTATAGGTTAAAATAATAATAATAATTTGTAATAACAATTTTACTGTACGACATTTATTACATAATACGTGAAAAAATTATTATTCGTTAATGAGAAAGTTGAGACTGTATTTATTGACGTAATTTTTCAAAATCAGAAGAGTAATTTGATACCGCGACTCTTAAACTGTCATTCAAATTTTCATCTGTAAGAAGTCATTTAAACGTATTTTTGATAAATTGCATTGAAGAAAATGTGGCTTCACTTAAGTAAGTCGATCTAAAAAATAATTTTATAGAACTTACCATATCAACTAAATCTTTATATTTACCTTGTAGTTGAAGATTTACCTAATTTAATTTCTGACAAGTATCAGCTTAAAAAGCCAAGATACCTAGCCAATTAAGATCTTCGAGTTCGTTATAAATTTCCCCTTTTTGCTCAAAAAATTCTTTTATTCAGTAATCAGATTAAGAAACCGGTCGAATATGTTTCCTTTGCTAAGCCACCTCACTTTTCTGTAAGTTATTTAAATCTGAGAACTCGGCATCGTCATCTTCCAATAACTTTTTAAAAGTCTGTGCTGTAACGGAGCAGCTCTATAAAATTTATAATTTTTGTTATGAAGTCCGAAACGTGGCTAAATGAAAAAAACTTTAGTACGCAGAACTTGCTGATGTGTTCTGCAATGGTATGCAAACAAATTTAGAAGTGATTCATCTTTTCTACATAAAGTTATAAATTCTCTATTTTTGTCGATCATCGCTGAAGCTCCGTCAGTTGTAATTGAAGATAATTTATGTAAGGAAAGTTGTGGTTGCAAAACATAATTTTTTAAAAACTTGATAAATAGGGGAGACCGGGGCAACTTCGGCATGCGGGGCAAGTTTGTCAAGCGCCTTTTTTTAAAAACAAATTAAAAGGAGACTTTGGTTATAGGTTAGGCAGTTGAGTTTTATTGGTGGCTTGTTGAGTGTAGTGTTTTTATTGTTCTCCAACAAGCGTAGTTGAATTATCAAGCAAATTTTCATTTTCGTTCAATTCCATATAATATTTTTTTTCCATTTATATTGAATTGGCAGGTTTTGTTATAATTCCATGATAACGAAAGTTACTTTTCCTGTTAGAAGGATGTAACTTCAACTTATTCACGTGGCCAGATCGTGGCTTGGCATTCTGTTCTCAGGGTTGTACTTAATGTTTCGAAATCATGACTAGCGGGGTAAGATCGGCAACATAAAGCCACATTAGAAGCAAAGGATAAAAATCAAACAGATGATAAATGAAAACATGTTTGCATTTGTTATTCATGTATATATGTCTTTGAACTTGCATTTCGTTGTAATAATATTAAATGGGTGTTGGATTTGTATTTCTTTGTTTTAATAGTGAATTCCAACTTATACATTGTTAATAACATAATTTTATATACGTGCCTATCTTGCCCCATTACTGTTGCCCCTATACCAGGGGCAACTTTAATAAAAATAATTAAAATAATTACAACTTTACAAAAAGAGAGAAGTTGCCGATCTTGCCCCTATACCCGGGGCAACTTCGTCAATTTCTCTCTTCTTGTAAAGTTGTAATTATTTTAATTATTTTTATTTTAAAACTGATTTTAACCAGTTCTATAGTAAGGTAACATTCCAATAAACAATATGCAAAGGTTTTTTTTCAGTTTACAGCAGTATTTATTACACAAAATTTAAGTAAAGCTTAACATGCCGATCTTGTCCCGGTCTCACCTATATTCACCTCTCGTTCTTTCCTTCATCGGCAAAAGGCACAGTATTTCTTCTTTCACGGAGTAGAGTAGTCATCGAAAACCATTCTTGTTATTATCATTATTAATTGAGATGTCTCCGTTAGATCCAAAGATTCGCCCATTTGAGGTAAATATTAAGAACACCTATTCGCATCAGCTTCGAGTCGATCTTTAATATACGTAGATACTGCCGCAGTCCTTCTTTTTATTGTCTTGAGTAACAACTGTAAATCGTTTATTGCACTAATTATTTCTGGCTTATTAGAAAAAGTATCAAAGAGAGAATCGTAACCAATAAGTAAAGCTTGTTTAAATAATTCTCCATTTGAATATAATCTGTTGTTCTTCGCAAAAAAATGTGCTATTTTAAACAATCCCATAGTTACATTTTGTGATTTATCTGTTGCCTTTTTGAACAATAATTGTTGGTTCAACAATCTCTTCTCTAAACTATTTACTTTTCAGTTCGAATAGCACAATGAAACATAAATTTTTTTTTATCGATGTTCTCGTGTTCTAATTTAAAATATCTTTCAGTATTGTATTTTTTAGTAGTTACGATGCTAGTGCACAGAAGACATACACTATTTCTTTTTACTTTCACAAAAAACTTAGTTCTCTGTTACCAAATACTAAATGAAAAATTTATAAATAATTTTTCTTGGTATCATATTTTAAAATAACTAAAATAAAACCGGAAATATATTATTGAAAATTCGCTGAATTTACTACTTCACTTCCTTCTAGATATTTGTGAACTCTTTACAATATGAGAGATAAAATAAAAACGTCGAAAAAAATTAATACATCAAACTAAAAAGAATATGTAAAATGAATTTACTGTATTTTTTTAAATAGCCACATTGTATGTAAAATTTAAATTATTTGTCATACAAAAAGAATAATAACTGTTTTTGTATGAAAGACTTTTATTTATCGATTTTTCGTACTGACAGAACGAAGAATTAATTCAATTATCGTCATTATTTTATTTGTCCTTTTAAAATAATTAAGAACAAATTCACTCAAAAACTTTTTCAAAGAAGCAAATCTGTTACGATAGAATTGCCATTAAAATTGAAATTTCGTCTCAGTTTTTTATATATTAATTTTAAATACCATAAAATACCAGTAATGGTAACAAAATTGCCCCTTCAATCTGATAAAAAAAATATTTTACATTCGTCATGCAATAAAGTCTGTCATGGCTTGTAGTTCTAATTTGTGAATTATGCTTCCATTGTTACTCTTGAATCTCGAAATGGTCTTGATACTTTTCTCACAATATAACTGTATTTTAAAATATCTACAAATGTAAACTATTTACATTGACATATTATTTAGAAATTCACATGTACAGTGGTACCTCAGGATACGAAATTAATCCGTTCCGAAACTGAGATCGTATCATGAAAATGTCGTAAGGTGGATCATCTTTTCTCATACGATTACATGTAAAACCAAATAATTCGTTCCAACGCGAAAAACATACTCAAATTAAAGCCAAGTAATACATTAAAAAAAATAACTGTAGTAAGAAAAACAAATGAAAAATGCGAACTAATGTAACGTCGTATGGTGAGTTTTTGTTCGTATCGTGGAGCAAAAATATGTTCGAATTTCATGTCGTATCCTGAAAATTTCGTATGCTGGGACGTTCGTAACCTGAGGTACCACTGTATACGGATTACATTTGTTAATTTTTTATATCTTATACTATACAACCACCATGAGCAAATGCGGCTCCGAGAGCAGCATGCAACTCTCTTTGAGTGACATGCGGCTCTTGCTTCAAGTGTTGATTTCTGCCTTTTATTATTATTTTTTACAATTTTATTTCCACAATTTTGAGAAAATATGTTTATTAAAAAATTCAATAATATAATAAAATCGCGATCCAGAATTGCAGTACAAAATTAAAAAGTACAGAACTGCAGCTCCCATGCATTTTGCAAAACTAACATTACAGATTCCACTGACCTCGTGCTTGCCCACTCCTGCTATACAAAGGTCTACGGATAGGATAACTGATACTTAGCTTCGATGGAGAATTACATACTTTAACGTACAGTACATACATATATATTTTCACGCTTATAATCCAAAAAGAATGATCAACAGGCAAAAGTAGACTACAGTCCTATGAAGCACACATTCATCAACTTTGTCCACACCTTCCTGTGAAGGCACACTTTTCTTTCGGACACACTCGTGCCTTTTCAAGCACACTTCTTCACATTCTTTTTTTGACTCAACATATTCCGTTCTTTCAGATTTTTTGTTCAAACTATTTGTTAAAACCAAGTCTTTCTCGGCTTTCCCCAACCAAGTTTCCCATCTACCTTTTTCAATTATGCATTATGACGATTATAATATGTAAAAAAATCATATAAGTATACGAAAGCAGCAATAAAGGTCAATCAGATCTTCATGCCGCTAGCAAGACAAGTGAAATTATCATAATAAATCATATACTAAATATATTTAAAGTTATTTAATTAACAGTGTCTTATATTATCAACATATATAATATTAGTATAATTTGCAAAGTTTATCACACAACAAAAATTTTTGAATTCTTGTCCGTCTTCATTTCTGTAATGTTTAGTTTGGGAATTACTGTTTTTTGCGATGTTCTATTTCTTAGCACGTTGGACAGAAGACTGCTCAATGGAGATTCGAAGAATATAAAAAAGAACAGAGCAGCAATCAGTGACAAGAATATAACAAACGAATATACCATCCACTGTAAAAAATAAATGTAATCAATTATGAATAACTTCTCAAAAGTGAAATCTCAAGACGTTAAAAAAAGTATTTTAAATGAACGACAAAAGTTGCAATGTTTTGCTGTTCAATTAAAGCAGACTTGGCATTGGTGCGAAAAAATTTTGGAGATATTCTAAATTTTATTGTTAAATTAGAATCACCCAATATAAGCATCGGGTTCATCAGCCTGGTTGTAGCAGTGGGCTTACTACTCTGGTCGTCACTCGGAGCCATAGCTTTGGGAAGTGAACTTGGGAAGCTAAGGCTGTGGCAACATTCCCGTAAACTATGATGGGAGGCATTGAGTTAAGATATATATGGCACCTAGGCGACTTATAAATGTTAGTGTCATGAACGATCTCATGTGTAATCTGGCAAAAACTTCGTTCTATGTTAGCCTCGCTTCAGCACAGGAGGTCTCGGAGTCAATCGTTTATCTCCTTCCTCGAGTATGGATTCCAATTAACCTTCTCTAAATCTAAAAGTAAGGTGAGAGATGGAGAAAGTGAAAAGGTAATGTTGGATGACCCCTTTTGGAATCGACTTAAGAGGATATGTTACTATTTAGTACTCAGGGTGTTATATCCGGTAGTGTTAAATGAGATAGAGAAGATGCATGAAATGAAGCTACATATAAGTAAATTCTGCTGTGAACAAGTTAGCAGAAACACTTTAGAGCTTATTGAAGTTCAATGAGACCCCATGTTTTGTTAGATTAAAAATCTTTACGTTGCACAGGTTAAATGCGTTGGTAACATTAGAAAATAGCTGGAGAGTGAATAGAAAAAAGTACTAGCTTATCTGAAGTGGATACAGTCAATCTTCCCATATGCGAGAAGTACGATATGTAATAAGTACAATATGTAAAAAGTGTAATATGAATATGGGTAAGAAAAACTAGGCTGTTCTGTTGGTCAAAGGTAAGAGTGACATGGGCAGCGATTCCAAAAAGAAACTTTTAAAAGAAAAATATAGATCTTTGAATGGTTTATGTAAGAATAGGTAGCATACATAAGATTAAGAGATCAGGGATAATTGTGACCCTAGCTTATAAATGTGACGTTGATAAGATCATTATTGATATAATTATAATGGTTTTATATTATATAGGCTTCATATATAATGTAACTGTACATAGCTTTTAAGATAGGTTTTATGGAGTTTTATGATTTTCTCTCTTGATCAGGAAAGGCACACTAAGAACAGCAGTGGAGTCCATAAACGTCGTGCTGAAATATTAACTTATATAGAGCACATTATGCTCAGTATCTAAAGTGGTGTATAATACAACTAGTATGTGAATAGCACTAATCTATAGGTTGACCTTTATCCGTGGGACTTGTTTGTACGCTCATGCAGATACAGCAACCGTTCAGTAGTGTGCCGTGCCATTTGATGTTAGGGAAGCTGTGTTTCTGTAATAACCGGATTAACCGTACTATCTTGTTATCACTTTCAATATTTATTTTATATTATTTACTAATGTAAATAGATTGTCTGTCATTTGTTTTTTTAATTAATTTGTTTTACCACCAGGTGGTGACCAGGAATCAGTTCCCACTGTACTCAGCTAGGGATTGGTTCAGTTAAGCATTTAAGTAAAAATTCCTGCTCTTTCAGCAGGGTTTTACCTATTAAAAACCATTTATAATTTAACGGCCATAAAAATTATATTTATATTAATAATGTCTCCAAAGTTCAGCGAATTTTTCGCAGAAAAATAACTTATCTGGAAACACGCGCCCGGCGTTCGATGCGCAGCTCCGCGAAGAAACAAGCTTAAGCAATGGCGTCGTCAAACGGTGCACACTCCGTAAGTAATCCTGCAATTTTTTGTTTATAGCATAGGTTATACAAATTATTCTCAAAACATTATACGTGTTTTGGAAATGTTGAGTCAAATTATTCTAGAATCGATTAATTTTATGGAAGAGAACCTTTCAAACAGCCGCAGTCTCTAAACTGCACACTTGCCGGTCTGTGATTGGCTCATGCATTTAAGTGACTCGTAAAACACAGAATTCATATAATACGGAATGTATCTACCGTGTTAAAGGGGGTCTAATATAAAACAAATATTTTAATGGATTTTTTTAAAACTCTTGTCAATTATACACAATTAGTATAAAAACATACTAGTAAACTCCTATCGTTTTGGATAAGTTATAAATCTACTCGCGATTAACATAATGAGGCGAGGATGGCCAAATCTAGCAGGCAAGCGGCTAACAGCCCGGAACCGGTAATGAATAAAATCATTGAAAGCGTTATGGTATGTAGTTTCCACCAGCTAAACTGTCTGAGGTTGGGGCTTTGTAAAGCGCATGCGCAAATGTCTATAATCTGTCTGCTTTACACCTTTCGAATATTTTCGCCCTGAAAGCTGTCCTATAATCGACATTACAGAGCTTCCATTGAGAATATGCATATAGGAATTTCTATTCGAATATACAATAGCGATCTTATTGTTTTTCTCACATATAGTATAAAAATTTGTGATAAGATAAATAATGCAGTTATAATAAAATATTAATTTTAATTAATACAAAATACGTTAAAATATGAAAATAATCGC